TTTCCCTTCCAACCCTTCTATTCTTTCCTTTCCCTTCCTTTCTTTCCCTACCTACCCTTTCCTTCCAACCTTTCCATCGAACTTTCCCCCTTCCAACCCTTACTTACCAACTCTTACTTTCCTTCCCTTCCAAGTCCTCCTCCTTCCCACCTTCCCTTCCCAGTCACACAGCTCCAGCCCTCCTTTCAACCTTCCCTACCCAGTCCCACAGCTCCAACCCTCCTTCCTGTGTGTTTGAGTATATTGTAATTAGTAACATCCCAGCTATTCAGCTTTCTAGTAACTGCAACACGTAGCAATACTGAAGACAGGGTATCCAAACAAAACTACTCAAAGCATTCTACAGGGTGTCTTAATTTCTTTATTTTGTAGGAAGAATAGTTTATGACATCAATTCAAATCGTAATAAATATTGTCGTTGTGTTTTAGCTACTAACGTTAATAGTTATGTGCTGTTTTTGTTGTTAATTATGTTACTACTCATGTAGATGTTTTTGTTGTTGTTGTTGCTTCTAATGTTGGTATTGTAATATAGTTGTTATTGTTGTTGCTGTTGTTTTTGTTGCAGTTTTCGTTGTGACTGATGATACTGATGTTATTATTTGTACATTGTTGTTGCTGTTGTTTAAACTGATGTTTAATGTTGATATTTGTGTGTTGTAATCCTTGCTGATGTTGTTGTTGCTACTAATGTTTTTTTGTGATTGTTGCTTATGCATGTAGTAAATGCCTACTCCACAACAATTTCTGGGACCGTGTTTATACATGTACATTTAAGGTTCTCTTGACTCTCAATGTCAACACACGGCTATTACTCCGTAAACTATCAATGCCACTGCCAATGGGCGCGATCTTATTAGCTATTGCTGTCAACTCGGACACTGGCAATTAATCTAACAATGTTTTAACCAGGACACGTGGACAAAGTAGTCGTGAACTATCCATGCCACTACCACTGGGCGCGATCTTGAGCTATTAATGTATCAACTAGGACACGATCTCACAACTACACACGAATATCAAAAGTGGTAGCAACAACAACAACTATAACAGCACACGAATATCAAAATTAGGAGTAACAACAAAACAACAACACACAATTATCAAAATTAGTAGCAGCACCAACAAACACAGCAACAACAAATGCAGCAACAACACCAAACAAATATCAAAATTAATAACACCAGCAACAAACACAACAACAACACCACACACATATTAAAATTAGTAGCAACAACAATTACAAACTCAACAACATCAGCACACAAATTACAAAATCAATAACAACACCACACACATATCTAAATAAGTAGCAACAACAACAAACACAACAACAACACCACATACGTATCAACATTAGTAGCAAAATTTATAGAATATCATGTTTACCCAATATTTGCTACATGCTGATATTTGTTTGTTGTCATCGTTGTTGTTGTTGCTAATGATGTTGTTGTTGATTATGATTTTGTAGTTGCTAATGATGTTGTTGTTGATTGTGATTTTGTAGTTGCTACTATTGCTTTTAATTGTGTATTGTTTTTGTTGTTGTTGCTACTAATTTTGATAATTGTATGTTTTTGTTGTAGTTTTGTTGTTGCTACTAATTTTGATGTTCGTGTGGTGTTGTTGTTGTGTTTGTTGCCGATGCATTTGTTGTTTGTTTTGTATTATTGTACTGTGTGTTTGTGTTTAAAAGTTAACTGTGAGAGAGCGACCAATATAGCCCCAAGTTATCCCCTCCCCCCTTCCCTCACTTCCTCTTAAACAATTTTATACGTAGGTGCACAATAGAGAAAACTCTTACACAATCATATACGCGTGTGTTCAATAAAGAAAACTCATGCACAATTATGAATGTGGGTGTTCAACATAGAAAACTAATGCACAAACGTATATGTGGGTGTGCAACATAGAAAACTCATGCAAAATTATATATGTATATGTGTAAAATATAAAAAAATTCATGCACAATCATATATGTGGGTGTACAATATAGAAAACTCATGCAAAATCATATATGTGGGTGCACAATATAGAAAACTTATGCACAATCATGTATGCGGGTGTACAATGAAGAAAACTTATGCACAATCATGTATGCGGGTGTACAATGAAGAAAACTTATGCACAATCATGTATTGAGTTTCCAATATAAACACATGCACAACCACTTATGCTGCTGTTCAACCTAAAACATCAAAGAGTCATGTGTTTACAATAAGGAACAATTCTTAGAAAACTATTATCACATGATTGTAAATGCAAAGACTTTAGTAATACTATTAGAACCATCTTTGTATAAATGCAGATTGAAAAACGGTAAATTGTGCCAAATGAATCCTACTAAAACATCTAATTTTAAATAATATCAAACTTACTCAGAGAATTTTGAAATTAAATATAAAAACCTCATAAAATATTTAAGTTTCAACACTATGTGGCGGAAAATGAACATAAATAAATTCAGAATCTAGAAAATTAAATTCTCCGGCCATTT